TTCTAAGATTTGAATAGATCCTAGGGTCTAGATCTAGGAGAATCCTAGAGTTTAGATTGGTTTGGAGATTGAATTGATTTAGGGACAAGATTGGTTCAAGTGACCTCATACAAAAATGAGGTCAACAAGACCTTGAAGGTCTTATATGAATGTATAAAATAGATATTCCGGTTGACACCCTGACTGTATATCTATTTGATAGTTCGAACCGTATTGACTCCTATCTATTTATATAGAATGTTCGGGCTCGAACTTTGGTTCGTTTATTGACTCTTACAGCATCCCTTGATGTCACATGTGTACCAATAATAAGCTCGTCGGGGCCCATGCGGGTGTTTGGGGGCATTTTATAACTATTTGTTGAACCTTGTTGACTCTTATTTATCTGCTTAGGAGGATCGAGTTCAAATTTATTGACCCGCGTAGTATCCCTAGATGTCACGTGTGTTCCTACAACATGCTCACCTGGGCCCATGCGAGTCATATGATTGTACTTGCCCCTTTTGTGTACCTATGTATTTACATATTACAATGCATGTGCGGGGGCATTCTTAGAATACTTCAGTTGTGCAAGCAACTGTCATTTGAGTGCACACAACATTCCATTGAGAGTTTGAACACACCTTTTGTCCATTTGTATGAGTGTTGCGGATCCGGTGTCGTGTTGTAGCAGCTTGTGAATTGAGCTGTTTGCTGATTTATATAGGTAGACTGTCGTGCTCCACTTATTGATTTATGCAGGTGGATCATAGTGCACTAACGAATCTCCTGCTTTCTTTCGTAAGAGTTTGGATTTATTGTGTGCTTTATATATTTTTTGTAGATAGCACTTTGCATACATGAGAGGCTTCTTAGGATGGCTCATAGGTATTTGAATGTGCTGTAGCCTTATATGTTTGCTTGTGGAGAACATATGTACTTGTGTCCACAGAGGATTTATCGCACTTACTACATATCCACTGTTGTTATCCACAAGTAATTTCATTGGTCGTCGTAGCTCACAGGGAATGGTTGTTTTCGTCTATAAGTGAACTAACCTCAACCGTAGGGATATCACAACCTTAGCTGCATACCACTTGAGTGTATTTGTCTTTCATTGGATGATTGTTGGCTATATGGATGCTACAGTATCCTTGTTATAATAGCTCGTAGGTATTATACATTATGCTATAGATATGCTATCTTTGCTTGTAGACAGTATACTTGTTTGTATCTTGATGTTGACTATAAGGATGCTAGAATACTCTTGCTACAAGAGTTTGCAGGTTCTTCTATCTTCTGCATATCAATCATTGCATCAACTAATAGTTCCCTTCATTAGGGCTTTTGATCTTCAATATACAAGCTCATTGGTCGGTTGATATGAACACTCATATTTCATGTTGGCTATACATAAATGAAAGGTCCTACAACATATCTATTCTTCTCATTTGAATATGTGCTCATTTACACATTAGTCTGCATTGATAACAAAGGATCCGCTTATCCTACATCTCCTTTGCTTTGCTTGTGGCCCTATTGTGTTCATTGCACATGATTGTGGATGAATTATCATGATCATCACATGCTTCTTACTATCCCTCCTCTAGACAATTTATTGGGCATATTATTGATTATTCGTCATTCATAAGTGACCTTTCAATCTTCATCACTTGTAATCGAGTGAACATATTTATCTATATATTAGTATTTGGCAATGGGGTTGAGCTGCATTCAACATTAATTTCTCCATCCATATTTATAGGAGAATTCATCACACTTGCAACATACCCAGTACCATGACTTGTGAGCACAATTACTATATCCTTTACAAATCTTCTGTTGTTATCCACGGGCGAGCCACATTTAATGCATATCTTCTAGCACTGCTTGTATGTGTTCATACTTATCATGTTCCTTGTGTGTTTTGCTTATGGTGTGTATGAGGGGTCATCTATAGTGATTCTAGGAGCATGTACTCATCGTAGTCCTTTTGTGTTTTGCTTGTCATTATAGATAGGTGGACTATTGTATGCGTGATAATCTTTCTACAGCCATTTGTAAGCAAGCTGCGGTATCTTCTGACATCAAAAACCCTTCATCAATGTTTGCAGATGGGTGTCTTGGTGTTGACCGTAGAGCATTGTCGCCTTCATTGCACATCCTTCACACTTTGCTCATAAGTATATTGTTACACACATCTTGTTGCCACTCGTGAGTATTTCGTCACATGCATCGTTGTTTGATATGCTTGCTTGCAAAATCAAATATCACACATCAATCATCATTGTTCATATATGATCTGCAACACAAGTTTGAATTATTTTGTTATCATTAGTGAACTAGTCAACAATTCAATACTTTTGAGAATTTTAACATAAGCTCTTCATTCCTCCATTGACCTTCACTTGAATAATTAGAATTATCATTTTGTATTTGTATATAAGTGTGTATTTGTTAGATCGAAGTTCAATCCCCTATTGACTGTTCAAACCAAGTTCAAGTTCGAGTTCACAAGTCCTCTGTGCAGTTCAAGTTCCAATTCAGATCGTCATCACTTGATTCAAGTCTAGGTCTTTTATAAATGTTCAAGTCTTTTTGTTGTTTCGTTCGATTCAAATTTAAAATTATTTATATTTGGGTTCATTTAAGTCCAAAATAAGTCTTCTTATTCTTCATTTAAGTCAAAGTAAAGTCCCCTGCTTTTGTTAAAGTCTTGCATATCTTCAGGCAGAATTTCGGTAGCCTCCCGACGTCTCCCCCGTTTAGAGAAAACTACAGAAAACTGGATCATCCCACCATGCTACTAGAGCGTGTATGATAGGTGTCGGGGGACACCAGGTCGTTGCTTCTGATCCGATTGCATATGAACGACAAGGTCGGTCCGTCATCGTCGTTGCTTCCGATCCAATTGTAGATGAATGAAGGACACTCAACGGCGGCAGCGGACGGGACTAGACAGACGTGTCAGCATAGACAGGACAAGCTGTGTCAGCGCGGACGTGACTCGCACGATTTTCCCGAGAACCCGGGGTTGAGTTCGGGTTTTTGGGTCAATCCGAGCCCAACCCGTTTTTCCAAACAGGTCGCATCCGAGAACCCAAACCCGACCTGTTTGCGAAATGGGTTGACCCTAACCCGAAATTTTCGAGTCGGGTTTTCGGATCGTGTCAAATATTGACACCCATATGATTCATAAATAAAGCACTTAAATTTTTTTAATATGGGCTCCAAAGTTTTGGCATCTTTCCTAATATTATACATAGCTACAATGATGATAGTATTATTTATAAAACTAATTATTTCTTGGCCAGTGATATGATTGATTTTTTACTATGATTGTTTTTTGTTATTTCCATATATATTAAAACAATCTTATGTTCTATTATGTGGCATTGATTTATTCCAATTTTTTCTTTTAGGTTATTGTCTCTATAATTTATTAAATTATCTATAAATAATTCATTCATTTCAATTATTTGTGCTATTTTTAAAATAGTGTGTGCCACATGATGCGCATGCTCTATGGCTTAAGAAAACTCAAGTTCTACAGTAAAGTGCAATGATATATGCTAGTTATTGAGAAAATAATTGACCTTTCTAGCATGCTATGTAAGAAAGTGACTTTATGATCAAGTAGTATGTTGGCATGAGGACCAGACTAGTGGCTCTAGTGAACAATTCATGAACTAAGTGCCCTATTCTACACTAGAATGTACCTAGCTTGTGATTGTGACATGAAGAGCTCTCAGCATGGTGCAGCTTCTCCAAGTCATGTTCAAATTGAGGTTGATGGATATGCATTCTTTAGTCTATCTTATAGAGATTGATGAGATTCTTGTGGACCCACCCCGTCCCATGGTGTTCACCTAAGCTGAGTTTTTCTCGTGAAGTCTAGTTAGTTTTCTCAGTTTAATATAACTTCAGAGCTGTGTCCCTTGGGTCAATTTTGGAATCTGCTGTAAATGAACATCTTGTTGAAACTTGAAAGAGTTCAAGAATTTTGAAGTGCCATATGCTTAGTATTCATTGGATGGCAAAGGAGGATGCAAATTCAATTTGTAAATGTGCACTCATTGATATTTGATTGGAGGCTTTCAAGTATGGTCAAAAGCAACCATTGGTGTTATTGTCTATCAGTCGTTTTAGAATCTGAGTTCTTTATGAATGTGGTGTATAACGTTTCTGGTTAGAATCATAGGCTTCGTTTGGGACGGCTTTTTTATTGATTCTTAAAACAAAATTTTAGTTAAAAATTAAAATTTGTATACTAAAACTCCGTTTTAAGAAGTAATAAAAAAGCCGTCCCAAACGAAGCCATAATTAATGCATTTTTTGCTATTAAGTATGGGCATGCCATGAAAGTATAGGCTAATTATTCATGCCATATTCAATTTTAAATATTTGAATATATCATTGAAAACATCTCTCCCACAAAAATACCAATATGTTCCTTGTTTTAACTGTGTTGGTCAATCTTTAGTATTCACGCAAAGCATGCATTTAAACTTCCTTATGAAAGAATCTTTTTCCCTACACTCACTTCGAAAAAAAATTATTTCCCCTTTCTCTGTGTTCGGTGGCCGTTATTACAAGGTTGAAAGTTTTGAGTGTTATGTAGGTGATATTTGAAAATTGTGTGGCATATAAAATAGCCTGTATTTTAGTGATATGTGCATAATTAACATTTTTTTTAATTTTTAGTCTTACTAATACGATTTGAACCATGTTAAAATGCATTTTTATTGTCAATGAGATTATTATATTTGGTCACGGTAAGGTTCACATTTTCATAATCAAATAGATATTTTGCCTGCCCAAGCCTGCAGATGGTTTTGGAAGAGCTTTTGGTTGTTTGCCTGTCGGTAAATAGCTATATGCCTTTTGCTTCATGTATCTGTAACACAACATTTAAAGCAAACACAGTGGTTACGTCCACTATAAAAAAGGCTTACTTTCTGTAAAAAACCAGCAGAGTTCCTGAACGTTCATTATGCTGAAAATGATTTCAGTGTTCCTGATTAAATTAAAGGCTAAAATCATACTTCATTAAAATTTGCATAGAAACAAAGCTATGGTCTTCTGCCAGGCCTCAAATACTGTCCTAATTATACAAGGATGTCATCCAGAGTAATGGTGTTTTCTGGAGGAATTAAGTTTAAGATTTTTTATCTAAAGCTCCATTGGCAGATGCTTTGTCTTTGAATTCCATTGGCAGGCAATGTCCTCTGCGATCCTGTGGGCATCTATGGAAGCCCCCAACAATCCCCTTCTCGTGAATCCTGTGGCATACAGACCATTCTTGCCCCGCCAACCGTTTGGAAATGGAGTCCTTGGGAATCCATTTTTCTTGCAGAAGAATTCCTCCTCCTTTCAGAAAAAAATGATTGCCAGTATGAGTTTTTTATACATGAATGCATGAAAAAGTGAATACATGAATAAACTTATGCATTTATAAAGAAATGCATAGCAGAATGTTATATGAGAATTGACTCTATTGAAATGTTATATGGTGGCCATGGCTGAGGGGACCATCTTCTTCTTGATGGTTGCCTTGTAAATAGGCTAGTTAATAGGCAAAACTTACCAATTTGTCTATCTTCTGCTAGCCACACAATGGATGCCCAGTGGGAAAATCAGGAGTCACATCTTCAGCTTTATAATTATCCTCATGTTGAGTCTCTTTTTCCTATTCCCATGGTCCATGCTTTTGCTTTCTCGGGTCTCTCTAATTGCTATGGTTACCTAATCATGTGGAATGTTGTAGGTGCTATCCTATACTGCATATGCATTACTATCATAGTTGCGGGTATGAATCTTTTGTCATAGAAACCACTATCATTGCGCGTGCTCCTACACTAAAGTAGCTCTTAAGTTGAGATTTAGGCTTCGTTTGGGACAGCTTTCATACTGCTTCTTAAAGCAGCTTTTTAATACAAAAATTTAATTTTACTAAAAAAACTTCTTTAACAAGCAACAAGAAAGTCACCCCAAACGAAGCCTTGTTGAATGTGGGAGTAGTGACCTCTTTTGTTTATACTGCTACTTGCAAGTGCGTTTTTTTTTTTTTTTGGGGTGGGGGTGGTGTGGGGATTTAACAATCCTTTTAAACGGGGGGGGTTGGGGGTTGGATGGCCTTGAATTAATATCTGACTAGTCGTAATCAACTTGTACTATTATTCTAAATGTCCAGCCGCATATGTTTGTCAAAGTGCTAGTTTTTATCCCCATGATTGACTTGCATTGGGCTTCAGTCACTTTTTTATTGTATGGATCTCATTCTTCTTTCTCTACTTTTAGTCCTACGCTCCTTTTATGGAGAGATTATTCTGTGCGGACACCGGACGGGAGAACCGTCTGGTTATGCTCGGTACCGAGCGCGGTACATTTTGGGGTGAGGTGGCGCATTTTTATTAGTCTACGGACACATCCGGACTCCGCATATAATAATAAATCCCTTTTATGACCGTCTGAGCTGCTGTTGTCTTAATCATAACATTTAATGTGATTGACTTTTGTGCTTCTTATGATACTAATTAGCAGAGTACAAATTTATTTACCTTGAGCCATGAAGTTACGTTGCTTCGGTAACCAGTTGCAAGGATGATAGTGTCAAACTCCTCCTGCCTCCCATCCACAAACTCTACACCTTTATCCATGAATCGGTTTATCCCAGGGACCACCTACAGAAAAGATCAACATATCATATCATTTCCTGCTTCCAGAGGTTACTTTTTTTTTTCTTTTTGGAAAAGTTGGGTGAAGAACACAAGCACACGCATGCTTATGTAGATTCTTGAACTTTAACCCCTTGGATTCACTAGTAAAAAAATCAAGTTTCAAAATTAGATAAGCTTAATATTTTATGCAAATTCAATCATTAATTTTCTTCTGCCCCTGTTCTGATAAGAGCTGAATTATTTGCAGCACCAGAATATTGCATTTGGAGTTTGAACTAACTGTAATAGCAACGGGAATACGGCTAATATTTGCATGAAAGGGTAAAAAATAACTATGCGGAATCGTCGAAGAAAAAAGAAACCTTTATATGGCCACTTTTGATCTTCGAGAGGGCTCCAATATCAAGCACCGGTGTCTTTCCAGTGGAATTCTTCAGCTCTAACGGCCCTATTTTGGGTCTTTTTAGCCCATGTTTTTCAGTGTCTCCTAGGATCAGCCGTGCACATAAGAGGAGTAAACAGTCAGCCACTCTTACTGGGAGCCATCTCAACAACCACACTGAGAGACCAAAAGTTGAGACTCCGAGCACTTCTCTAGGCAAAATGTGAAGCTGAAAGATGCATTAATTAATAGCTCTGTTATTAATGAAGTGCTATGGAAAAAAATAAAGATCTAAAGGTAAAGTTAAACATGGCATGGTGAAGGTGAACATCTAAAGTATGAGCATCTGCTGTCATTTGATGTGAAAAACCAGTACAAAAAGTCATAATTTTGAAGAGAACCATCATCTGAACAGTTTTACAGAGAAAGACAGTTGACAACCAAAAGATTCAGCAAAGAGACAGTGAATTCCATAAACCAATAGGAATTTTACAGAGAAAGGGACAGCACATGAACCAAACAAGGAGACATTCTATAATAATTTAGTTGGCCAATGAAATCAGTGTTACTTAATTAAGAGCAGCAGTGAAGGAAACTCATATAATAAGATGAGAAAGAGGGAGGGAGATCCTTGCTAACTCCAGAAATGGCAATTTGATAGTGATGAAGAGGCGGCCAACTCACCTTATCTCTGACAACCATGGAGGCTTCTGCATGATTGTTGCAAAGATCAAGACAAACTTCCATGCCTGAGTTTCCACACCCGACCACCAAAACTCTTTCTCTGCGAAAATCATCTCCCTTTTTATAACAACTAGTGTGCAAAAGCCGTCCTTTGAACTCAGCCATGCCTGTAATTTTAGGTACCATCGCCTCTGCATTCTCCCCAGTAGCAACTACCAGCCATCTACTTATGAACTCCCAGTCGTCTCCGGCATTAATCCTCCAGAAATCGATGTTGCTATCATACTCTGCCTTCCGAACTTCCATTCTGAATAAAGGACTTATTGAGAAGTGTTTGATGTAGGAGTCCAAGTAGCTTATGAACTGCTGCTTTGTCGGATAGACCGGAAAGTCCGGCGGAAATGGCATGAGTGGTAACTCACAGAAATGCTTTGGTAGATGCAGCTTCAGGCGCTCATAGGTCCTCATCCTCCATGACGAGGCGATGCAGTTCTCCTTTTCAAGAATCAGAGAAGGAACACCTTTCTCCTTCAGGCAGGCTGCAATGGCTAGCCCTGATGGTCCTGCTCCAATAATCAAAGGACCAGGAACCAAAATTCTCTTTGAATTACTTGATCTTATAGCTTCCCCATGGAGTTTCAGTTCCAGTTGTGAAGGTGGCTTCTGCTCACCTGATGCAAGGTCCCACAGCATTGGAGGCTTTGGAGATCTTATAGCAGCAAATAAGTAACTTATAATGTAATCATGAAGAGTGATCAAGCTGGAAATATTTCATGAAAGATGAAATTGGCAGAGGAAGCATTTGGTGAATAAGAGATGAATGATAGAAGTTGAAGAGATTTGGTTTCTGGTAACTGAGCTGAACTCCAGAAATAAGTGGCTTGTTTCAGCAAAGGCAATTGAAGTGTGGCCATATAAATAGAAGAAACTGGATGAAATATCAAAGTATAGAGGTTCTTTTAATATAGTGAAGAGGACCAGCTGAAAACAAAAGGTGGTGATACGGCCTGCTATTGATAGGAATTTGGTCCTCATTGGAATAAAGGATATGGAGGAGGAATAAATGTATGAAACTGAAGAAGATCATGTGTGTGTCTGTGGTAGAGAGGATTGGGTTTTCTTGAGTTTTTTTTTTAGCTGAAAGTAACTGAAGCTTATCTAATAATCGTGCTGTTTTAACTGTTACCATTATAGTTAGGGCAGTAAATGATCTGAGTCTTCGATGAGCTGCTCGTGGCTCGGCTCGATGAGAGCTCGTTCTTGTTCGTTTGATAAGGTAAACAAACGAGTTTGAACACTCTTGATAAATACTCGGTAGCTAAATGAACGAATTTGAACAGCTTGTCGCTCGGTAGCTCTCAATCTGAACATGAGCCGAGCTTGAGCACGTTTTGACAAACGAGCTCAAATTTGAACAGGTTGAAGCTTAACTCGACTCGATTCGTTTGCCGCCCTAATTATAGTGAAAGAAATTACTGTCATTTTAACAGCCAAGGCCAAGTTGCTTGTCAAGTGCATTGCTTGTGTCCTAAAACTCAAAAAGATAAACCATTTTTTTTTCCCTTACAAAATCATTTATGTGACGGGCAATATTTCAAGGAAATCAAAGAAGCAAAATGCATTACCAATGAAGCATAAGAATCAGATAAAGTTGTTACAGGCCTGTTGCCAGTGATATATACTGATGTTGAACAATAATGAACATAGTTACTAGAGATCACTAAAGGAAGGATGATGGAATGTCAGATGGAATGGCTATATTCTTAGACCATAGATAAAATTATAGCCTCATGCAGTTTATCTACTTTTTACCTTTCCATTTTCCACTCTTGATAATGGTGAGAATCTGTTACAGAGGAGAAATTATTTTGTGCAGGGACAGTTCTACGTCCGGAGACGAATTAGGTACAATCACATCAGCAGTATCGAGCTGCAGTACACAACGAAGAGATGACGTGATACATTCTGATTGATCTTCGGATGACGTTCTACATCCACGCAGAATAATTAATCGTTACAGAGAGAAGTGTAGTTTTACTGCTTTTAGAAATAGGTGAAAGCTTACAGAATATGATGAGATGCTTATGCTTTCATCTAGAAAATCAGAGCTGGAGGTAGTGTAGTCTTCATTGGTAGTCTATTTGAATTTTGCTAGTATATATCTAAATGCCATGTATGATAGCGAAGCAAGAAATTGAAGTGTGGGGGCTCACTTCATCTAGCTACTGAAATTCCATTCAAGTAAGGTACAAACGTCGATATGTGACATTTTTTGGCTTGGCATGTGATGCGGGCATATGCGTGGCAGAGATAGCGAGAGGGATATGGCCACTTCTTTCAAACTTGGCCATGCTTCTAAAGCTCCTTTGATAAGCAAGCATCAGTTTTTTGTTTTTTGTTTTTTTTTTTAAATGGAAAAATGATGTGTCTATATAAAATGATTGGATTAATTATTCTGTGATGTCTCCGAACACCAACCATAATGTGCCACATCATTACTATGCTCGGTATCGAGGCTCAGTACTGCTCGGTATCGCTGATGTGGTGCATACTGGTTGGTCTCCGGATGACGATTTGCGTCCGGTTTCCACACAGAATAACTTTTTCAATAATTGAGGTTTCATTTGAGATAGCTTTCTTATTGCTTTGTACAATAATTTTTTAGTATAAAAATTCTTGAAAGCAATAAAAAAAAAAAAGTGGCTAAAAGTTATTCCAAATGAAGCCTCAGTTCTCATATATAAAAATGGAAAATATATATAATCCTTATAAAAAATTGGCAGATATAAGGTTAAGGGATGATAAAAAATAATTAATTCAAATTGTTTGTTATATTTAAAGATCCTTGGATTGAGTTAAAATGATTAAAAATTAATCAAATGGATTTAAATTAAAATATAAAGAATTTTAAATTTAAAGATAGTAGTATATAGCATATTTATCTAATTTGTTATTGCCCGCCGACTACAGTCCTTCGCCGCCAGTTGACTACGGTCCTCCTGACCTACGTCGCACGCCGACTATAGTCCTTCTAACAAAGCGAATACGTCGATAGTAGATCTTTGTATTTACATCATGTAATGTACTCCATAAGATGTACATCAAGCTAAGGCCTTCTCCTAAGGAAGGGCCTCATTTGTAATCGATTGCAAATACTAGTGGATTCGTTCAAACTGGGCTAGGCCCCGTGGTTTTTCCCCCTTTTTACAGGGGTTTTCCACGTAAAAATCTTGGTGTCTCATAAATGCTAGACCCTCTCTTCTTATCTGATTGCGTGCCGGATTTTCGTACAACGCTAAGACGTTAAACTAAATATTTCTCTACCGCCGCGAATACTCCAGGACGCAACAGTTCTAAACTCTTTTTTTTTCCAATTATTTTAGGATCTTATTCAATCTATATATAAATTTTATTTGAATAATATTTGAACTATATTCTTGTTGTTAATAGGTTAGAATCTTAGGTTTCGTTTGAGGAAGTTTTTTTACTGTTTTCTAAAGTAACTTTTTAGTACAAAATTTTCTAATTCAAAAAGTTTTTGTACTAAAAAATTGCTTTAGAAAATACTAAAAAAGACATATCAAACGAAGTCTTAGGAATGCTTTCTTTCTGCTTCTTAAAACAGCTTTTAGTACAAAAATTAAAATTTTTATACTCGAAAGCTGCTTTAAGAAACATAAAGAAAGTCGTCCCAAATGAAGCCTTGGTGAAACCTTGCTTCAAACTTATTCAAATCTTATTTGTATCTTGTTAAAACCTCGTTTGAGTATATTTGACTTTAAATTTATTCAAAATTTAGTTTGAGCCATATTTTATCCTAAATTAAATAATTTTTTTCTTAATGAATTTCAATAAATATTCTATGAATATAAGATGGGATTTTCATCTGAATGGCAATAAAACACATTAGAAATATTTGGTCAACTATGATTATTATTATGGGTCAAATAAAGTAAGTTGTTCAAAATAAATTAAAATTTTCAAAATAATAGCATTCAGTATAAAATTTTAAAAATATATAATATCTTATTCATATTTTAAAATAATGATATATATAATATGATGGTAAGTTATTTTATTTCAAATTCAAAAATATGTCATATCTTATTAAAATTTAAATGTACTTCAATACAAATTCAAAACTATTACTTGATGCTCATAGAGTGCTCTACATAAATAAGGTAACTGCTTGGCGCTAATCATCAACCAGACTATATTAATCTTAGTTAGGTACATATACTTACTAAATGGTTATAAATGAATTTAGTTTTCAATATAATTGAATTTAAATTTAATTTTAAAGATGGATAGCTAATCTCATGTGTCTAGGTTTGTTTGAGACAGCTTTTTTACTGCTTCTTAAAGCAGCTTTTTGATACAAAATTAAATTTTTTTGTACTAGAAAGCTGCTTTAATAAACAATAAAAAAGTCGTTTCAAAAGAAGCCTAAAACTTCATTTGGGACAGCTTTCTTACTGCTTTAAAAAACTTTCTTAGTACATTTTTTTTTTTAATTTGAAATTTTTATACTAGAAAGCTGCTTCATAATATAGTAAAAAAAATCGCCACAAACAAAGCCTAAGGCTTTGTTTGGGACGGCTTTCTTGATGTTCCTTAAAGCAGCTTTTTAATACAAAAATTAAATTTTTTGTGCTAGAAAGCTGTTTCAAAAAGCAGCAAAAAAGTCATCCCAAACGAAACCTAAATTATATATATGTTGAATCTGAATATCATGCTATGTGCGCCATATGTTTAGAAATTATTTGGTTTCATGGACTTATTTCCGAACTTGTTTTTATTCAAAATTATCTTCATGTAAATAATACTAATTACATTGAAATTAAGTGATGGCACGTCAATGACAACAATTTATTGTAGGAAAATTTGGATTGGTTTGAGACGGCTTTCTTACTGTTTCTTAAAGCATCTTTTAATATAAAAAATTAATTTTAAGAAGCAGTAAGAAAGGAATCCCAAACGAAGCCTAAAACTTTTTGCTTAATCAATATCAATTTGAGCGGAGATATTAAATTATTAACTATATATCAACTAATATAACTATAATGTTAATTAGTGCTATATAATACATGTACTAGCTTTTCAAAGAAACTAATTGATGTGAGAGTTCATTCAATGTATCTTTTTTTCTTATTTTGTAATAGGACAAGCTATTAGATTGACCAGCAGGTGGCGTTATTATTATCATTAGTATTATTATTATTATTATTTGATATTTAGATCAATTAAGATAAATGATAGAAGAACATATCTTCTTGAACGAACAGAGCAAGCCGAGAGAAGTTGTATTTTGAAGAAATAAAATGGAAAATCTTATTGAAGAGTTTTTAGTGCAGAAGTATTTATAAAGGTTTTATACTGAGTAAAACGATAGTATTATTTATATGAATATCCGTAGATGCTAAATATGCATAGATGCTCTGTCAGCCCCCCTCAAGTGAAGCATTCGTTTGATTGAATGGTTAACTTGTGTCTGAGCTCATTGAAACGAGAAACCGAGAGTGGCTTTGTGAGGATATCGGCAATCTGGTGCTGAGACGGTATGTTTTGGATCTGAATGTCACCGGATGCTATGTGTTGTCGGATAAATTGATAGTCAATTTCGATATGCTTTGTTCGGGCATGAAAGACAGGGTTTTTGGCTATGACAATTGCTGAGATGTTGTCACAGTATACCGAAGTTGGAGTTTTCTGCTCTATTTGAAGTTCCGCAGCAAGGCGTCTTAGCCAAATGACCTCCGAAATGTCAGCCGATAGGGATCTATACTCGGCTTCTGTGGAGGATTTTTCTACCGTAACTTGCTTCTTAACTGTCCATGATATCAAGTTTGGTCCGATAAAGTTGTAGAAACCGGAAGTTGATTTTCTGTCTGTGTTGTCGGACGCCCAGTCTGCATCAGTATACGAGTGGATGTGAAGATCACCTGTGACAATCGGCAACCCGAAGGAGAGTGTTCCATTGATGTAACAAAGGATGCGTTTGAGCTCCTTGTAGTGTTGAACCGTGGGAGTTTGCATATGTTGGCAAACTTTATTTGTTGCAAACGCAATATCTGGTCGAGTGATCGATAAGTACTGTAGCGATCCAGCCAGTCTGCGGTAGAGAGACGGGTCAGAGAACGACTGTGACGTGTTGTGTTTGGAACTGGAGGTGGAATCCATTGGCGTAGAAGCGCTCTTGCATTCCGTCATTCCGACCGATTTCAGCAGAGTTGCCGCGTAATGAGCTTGTGTGAGGAATAGACCTTGCGAGTGAGTCTGGACTTGAATCCCTAAGAAGAGATTAGCGTGTCCTAGTTGTTTGAGAGCAAACGTTGAGTTGAGTTCCTGTAGAAGAGACTGAATTTCCTTGTGATTGTTTCCTATAAGAATGATATCATCAACATAGGTAAGAAAGTAAATTTGAATGTTATCGTGAGTGTAAATGAGTAGAGAGGGATCTGAGCGGCTAAATCAAAATCCGCGATTTTGAAGAAAGTTGGTGAGCTTTTGAAACCACTGTCTTGGCGCATATAGTGATTTGTGCAGTTTGCAAACCGCGGTTGGGTGGTTGGGATCGATAAATCCCTGCGGTTGTTTTCATATAGATATCCTCAGTTAGATCCCCGTGCAGAAAGGCATTGGATATATCTAGTTGGAGAATGTTCCATTTCCTGTGCAGAGCGAGCCTTAGAAGCAAGCGAATGGTCGGCATTTTCGCGATTGGACTGAATGTCTATGTGTAGTTTTCCCCAAATTGTTGTCTATTTCCAAGTGCCACCAGTCTCGCCTTATGCCGATCCACTTGTCCTGAAGGTAGTCGTTTGATCTTAAACGTCCACTTGCAACCCAGCACAGGTTTGTTAGGTGGTGGTGAGACTAGAGACCACGTATGTTGACGTTGTAACGCATGGATTTCCTCTGCCATAGCAGCGCGCCACTGTGAGTGTTTGATGGCCTGTTTGTAGGAAACAGGTAACTGATCATCTGAAGTAGAAGTGGACAGGGATTAGATAGGATTCAGTTTCTGTATTCCTGATTTCGAGCGAGTTTGCATTGGATGTGGAACATGTGCCTGTCTGGACCGATGAAAAATAGGTTCCGAAGTCGGGTTGGTTGTAATGCTGATCTCAGACGAAGAGTGAATGGGTTGAGGAGTAGTTGAGGGCTGAGGCGATGTAGGGATTGCCTTGCTGGACTGTGTGTTGTGAGTAACCGTGGATGCTGGGACGAGAATGAGAGGCGATGAGTTGAGATGATTTGCGTTAGGTGAGGATGTCTGGTTTGATGTTTGAAATGGGAAGGTATCCTCATGAAAGACCACATGGCGCGAAATGTGAATTTTGAATGTAGATAAATTGTAGCAGAGGTAACCCTTGTGCAACGTCGAATACCCAAGAAAAACGCATGCCGTTGATCGAGGTGAAAATTTGTTGGTTGAATAAGGTTGCAACCACGGGTAACACAGGCAGCCGAAAATACGAAGGTGATCGTATTTCGGAATGGAGTTGTAAATTATCTGATGCGGAGACTTGTGAGCCGTGTGTTTGGAAGGTAATCTGTTTATGAGGTGAACAGCGGTTGAAATAGCTTCACTCCAGAACTTGGCCGGAGTGTTAGATTCTTGTAACAAGGATCGGGTTAACTCAAGAATGTGCTGATGCTTGAGTTCGGCAATTCCATTTTGCTTCGGGGTGTGCGGACAGCTCACACGATGTACAATTCCCTGTTCTTGCAGAAAAGAAGTAAACAACCGGTTAATAAACTCACCGCCGCCATCAGATTGGAAAGATTTTAGTGTTTTTCCAAATTGATTTCGGATTAGAGCACAAAAAGCTTTAAACTTGGACAGCGTCTCATTTTTGTTATGCATAAAGTAAAGCCAGGAATACATGGAGTAATTGTCAATGAAAACAACATAATATCTAAAACCGTTAGTAGAAGAAAAAGGAGACGGTCCCCATACATCCGAGTGGATGAGATCAAAGGGAGCCGAAGTGACCGAGCTATTTTTATTAAACGGAAGTCTATGGCTCTTGGCCGTATTACAAGAATTACAGTGCAAAGTAAAAGAGCTATCAATCGTAAAAGGTAGGTTGCGGGCAAGAGACTGTAAAGTCCTCTTGTTCGGATGACCAAGCCTTGCGTGCCAGAGATGTGGGGAGGTGTTCTTAGTGTGAAAGGCCGTTTGAGATGCAATCGTCGGTTGGCGAATTTGATAAAGACCATTGCTAAGACGTCCACTGAGAAGAAGACGATGATCCTGAGAATCTTTCATTTCGAAACTGTTAGCATGAAATGTGATATATATAGAATTATCGGCAGTTAATTTTGACACAGAAAGAAGGTTGTGTGTTAGTTCAGGTACGTGTAACAAATTTCGTAAGTAGAGCTTACGCGCATTGTCGGGTAGAGGAAGCAAACCATGACCAGAATGTTGGATTGGAACAGAGGATCCATTGGCAACGGAGATTGAATCTTGACCGTTATACGCGGAGGGAGCTTGAAGATTTGAACTGTCCGGGGTCAGATGAGATGAGGCCCCTGTGTGCATAATCCAATCCTGTGTTGGATAAGAGGATGGTTGGGTGAACATGGCTCTCGGGTTACGAGTTGTTGTTGGAGCATACTTCAGGTCACAGCGATACTAACAATTGATGGCAATGTGTCCTGTTTTGCCACAGATTTGGCAAACCGGACGCGTATTGCCGTTGGCGGAGGTTGTATTGTTCGCCGGAGTGCTGACCGAGGTTGTATAGTTATTGTTCTTGTTCTTGCTTGAACGTTTGTAGTTGCGGTTGCGAGGAGGGTTGTTAGGCGCAGCATACAGAGCCGGCGCTGTGACGAGTTGATCTTTGACCGCATCCTGGTTAATGTGAATTTCTTCATTGCACAGGAGTGAATAAAGATTGTCCAGGTCCGCCGGTATCGGAGAGGTGCGAATCGAAGTTTTGAAAGAATTGTAGGTAGGAGGAAGACCGTTTAGTATGTATAGGATGATATCTTCCGGATCTACCTTGGAGCCGGAGGCAGCAATGCTGTCGACAATATTCTTGATCTGTGAAAGATACTGCTGCATTGTTAAATCCTTCATTTGAATATGATGAAGCTCATTCTTGAGCTGCGTCACACGAGATCGGCTCGACGGTTGTAAGCGGCGCTCGAGAGTCGTCCAGACGTCGTGAGCGGTCGTCGCCGTGATGACATATGGTAGAAGAGAAGGGGAGATCGTGGAGAATAAAGCTGAAAGAAGAGTGCTATCCACGAGAATCCAATTTGTATGTGCGGAAGTATTGGCGTCGGGCGGTAAAGATGAGGTACCGGAAAGATGGCCGGCGTAACCAGTTGCAGTGAACTGTTGAAGGATTTGGATCCTCCATACCGCATAATTTTCAGAGGTTAGAGGATGAGGAATCAGGTTCTTGATGTTAGAAACCAGGAACTTCAGCGATGCCGGAATAGAAATCTCAGCATTGGCGGTTCCGGCGAGAGAAGAGGAGGGAGGGAGGGAAGAAATCGAATCTTGATCCCCCATTAGGCTCTTGATACCATGATAGAAGAACAGATCTTCTTGAACGAACAGAGCAAGCCGAGAGAAGTTGTATTTTGAAGAAATAAAATGGAAAATCTTATTGATGAGTTTTTAGTACAGAAGTATTTATAAAGGTTTTATACTGAGTAAAACGGTAGTATTATTTATATGAATATGCGTAGATGCTAAATATGCATAGATGCTATGTCAATAAATTCATACACATATGACATACGCAAGACTCAAACTCAAGATCTTCTGACTAAAAATCAAAGCTTTCAACTAACAGATCAAATTGAGTTGCGTAGCTGTTGTTGTTTATAATGAAGACCAGCTTGCAGTCTTTTCCCATAATTTGCCTCTAAGAAAATATTTTTGGATAAGAAAATAAAATTTATGATCTGTAAAATATTTTTTTTTATAAAATATTGTCTGAAAGATCCTAAATGGGAGCGAGCTTGAATTTAATATTACTGTTTTTTCACCGAAGGAAAAGATTATATTAAATAATAAAAAGATTCGAAGAGTTGCAGAATTTACACCAAAAGATGAGATGGAAGGAAAACATGAAACAAAGCAAGAGAAAAATAAAAGAATAAAAGTTACAAATCTGCGTAAACTGTAAACAAAACTTACTCAAAAGCTATAATATCTACAGCAGCAACAACAACGTAAAATTAGAACAAAGCTTCCAAGGTAAATATGGAACTTCGATTACTAGAAAAAGAGAACCCAGCAAAGCAAATTAGAAGAGTGATCCTACGAGAGGATACTCATGTATCTCCTGAATCCCTCAAACAGACGAAGGAGCACGAAGAACAAGAAAATTTTTGAAAAGAAACTTGAGTGAACAGAGCCAAAATCAGCAACTGTAGCAGCAGGAAAGTATAAGCAAATCCATTCAGCTCACCACATGCACAATGAACAGACAACCAGAATCCAACATTCATCTCCAGCAAAGAATCAACATGTATTAACATTATTGTTTTCTTTTAATGTTACATTTTTTTTTGGAACGAGGTACGTATTCACCTGCTGCCACTCGAAAGAGCGCTTGACGGCATGACTAATCCTCGGCTGACTTAGAAGAGGCACCCACCCTAGAAACCTCTTGACCCGCACTTGAATTGGCCCCACTTAAGAGGCGTTGCCGCTCGAGGGGAATCGAACATGGGGTTCCCAACCACACTCTCTCACCAACAAAACTAAACAATGGTGGGTTACATTTAATATTATTGAGTGTTTATATCAGTTTTAGCTGCTTTCACTGAATATATAGCTACTATATATTAAGATTATTTGATAAAGCTATGTTTATATTATGTTATAAAATTATGATTATTTTATTAAAAATAGAGCTATCATTCTCCATTCTAAGCATTTAAGCTACTATATACTCTATAGACAGTATGGTCATAAAATAAGAAAAATAAACATGTATGAAAAAGAGTATATATATATATAGTTATAAATTAAAATTATATTATAAGATCATCTCCAACTTTTTTGCATACCATTATATGCTGTCCGCGAATCATTGCATTCCAATTCCAAATCTTATGCTAAAAATCGGTAGGTGAATAGTGTGATGCCGATATTGGCGTAGAACTGTCCACCTACACAAAAAATAAAGTGATTACCTTCGTACTCTGGTTAGCTTCGCAGGAAACTTACTCTGGTTAGCTTCGCAGGAAGCGCGCAAAACAGAAGAGAGATGGTTACCTTCGCAAAGAAGCGAGAGCAAAAAAAAAAATGGAGTTCCATTGGAGATGAACTATCACATTTTGGAAAATGGGGTTTTTGATTGGAGATGCCCTAAATAACTTTAATATAAATAAATGAAATCAATCTAAGGCTAAGGCTTCGTTTGGGGCGGCTTTCTCAGTACTGCTTCTTAAAGCAGCTTTCTAGTACAAAAAATAAAATTTTTGTACTAAAAAACTGCTTTAAGAAGAAGTGAAAAAGCCGTCCCAAACGAAGCCTAAGTCTTTTTTTTTTTTTTGGGACATTTAGGCCATTTAAGGCAAACGCACACACACAACGCATACACAGAGACTCGAACCTTAGACCTCTTAGATGGAAGCCTTAGCTCTCAACCAATAGGCCAAAGAGAGTTGTGTACGAAGCCTAAGTCTCAATCAAACAATCTTCCTTCTCTGTCAGAAAATTCCAGCCAAATCTAG